TACCTGTATGATTTTCACTACAACTATATTAAAAAGACATTTTCTAATAAAGCGAAATTATTATATACTGATACTGATAGTTTAATCTATCACATTAAAGTGCCGAATATTTACGAATATATTAAACGAGACTCACAGCATTTTGACACATCTGACTACCCTATAAATAATTGCTATGGTATACCACTAAAAAATAATAAAGTTTTAGGATTAATGAAAGATGAGTGTAACGGGAAAATAATTACAGAATTTGTTGGATTAAGATCCAAGTTATATACCTATAAGTTATTTAATCAAGGAAAAGTAGAAAAAAAAGCTAAAGGGGTTAAATCTTCAACATTGAAAGAAATAACATTTGAAGATTATAAAAAAACACTTCTATCATATAAAAATTTAACTAAAAAGCAATATTCTATTTGCAGTAAAAAACATGAGGTTTTTACGATTGAAACAAAAAAGGAAGCGTTAAATTGGTATGATGATAAAAGAGTACTTTTACCAAAAAATACCGATACGCTTCCCTGGGGATATAATAATGATATGCAATAATTAAAAGAATAAGAAAAATGAATTATTGCAATAAAAAAGAACAAAGATTTGGATAAATTCTAATATTAATCCTTTTTTCTACCTCTGTTTCTTATATATATATATATAATTCATATAATTGTATTAGTCATCATGCTTTGTCTTAGCCCTTTTTGCGTGTGTGCGTTATCAATCTCTTTCTTCTCTTTTCAATTTCTGATTCTCTATCTCTGTTCCTCAATTTGTAAACTATGGTCCTCATATAAAAGGCGGACGGTTCCATAGGAGACTCATTAAAAAAAGTGACCTCAATTAAAATAGTTTCACACGTGAAGTGAAGTGAAGTGAAGTGTGCAAGTTTTAATAAAATATTTAAAGTGCATTAGACTGGATTTTTTTGGAATAAACAAAAAGTGAGTATTGTGTTAAATAGTTTTTTTTAATAATTTTTATTTTTTTAATTGAATTTTTTAAATTTAAAACAGTTAAAAATTTTTTACATTTTAGATTTGAAAAAATTATTTTACATTTTTTCTTCAATGAACATTAATTTTTTTAATTTAGTTAACAATTTTTAATTTTTTAAATAACATTTATAAAAAAAAAATTATTGCTTTTATCGAAAGGTTTTTAACATTTTTCTTTTACTGAACTTCTTTTTTAAAACAAATTTATCTCAGTTTTTTAAATTTTGATTTGTCAATTTTTTCAAAAATAATTTCAAAAAAAAGTTATTGCTTTTTATAACAAATTTTTAGTTCTATACAAACATTTTTGAAATTTTTTTCTGTTATTGACCTTTTTTTAATCAAATTTGTTTTAATTTTTAAAAATTTAATTTGACAATTTTTAAAAAAATAATTTAATTAAAAAATACATATATATATATATATATATATATATATATATATATATATATATATATATATTGCTATTTTATAATAAATTTTTTAGTTTTATTCAAACATTTTTTAATTTTTTTTGTTAATAAATTTTTTGAAAAACAAATTTATTTCAGTTTTTAAAAATTAAATTTGATTTTTTTTAATTAACATTCATTTTTTAATTTAGTTATTAATTTTCAAGTTTTTTAAATTAAATGTATGAAAAAATTAATGCTTTTATTCAAAGGTTTTGAATTTTTCTTTTTTATTAGACGTTTTTTAAAACAAAATTTATTTTAGTATTTAAAATTTAATTTGTCAATTTTTTAAAAATTAATTTAATTTAAAAAAATATATTGCTCTGTAAAACAAATTTACTTCAGTTTTTTAAAATTAAATATGTTAATTTCTTTTACAATAATCTAATATTAAAAAATATGTATTGATTTTTTATGACAAATTTGAAGTTTTATTGAAACATTTTAGAAATTTTTTTCTTCTTTTTGAACTTCTTTTAAAACAAATTAATTTCAGTTTAAAAAAATTTTTTTTCTCTAAAAGCAGTGAAAGTTACTTTAATCTATTCAAAAATTAAAAACTTTAAACAATAAGAAAAACATTATTTTTTACTTTTTTCAGTTCAAAAAAAGAAAAAATGGAAGGATATACAAATTTCCAAGTTCTAATTCAAGCTCCAAGACAATGGTTGGACAATACGGCAAACGTCGACCAATTTAAAGAATTGTGTTTAACGGGCCTGGCAATGCGGGCTCGCGATCTTTTTAACCAAGTGACATCCTGCTGCACTCCGGTATATTTAAATTATAATGGATTAAAAGCAAAGGTTTACAGTCTTGTCAATGGTTATTGGATAAAAAGAGTGGATGAAAATCTCCTCGAAATTTTGGTAAATATTTTTTAATAATTTTAAATTTAATTCTTAAATTTTTTAATAATGCTTAATATTTTATAATTTTAATTTAATTAATTCAGTTTAAATGTTAAAAATTTTTTAAACAATTTTCATAGTTTCATTTTATTGTAAGTCATTTAATGTTTCATTTAAATTTCAATCACGTACTCACATTTTTATTATTTAGTAATTTTTAATAATAAATAATAAGAAATTAAATAAATAAATTTTATAATAAATATATATATATAATTTTTTATAATAAATTAATTAAATAATTAAATAGATTTAATAATATATAAATAAATAAATAATAATTTTTTTTTATAATTTAAATTCCTTTTATTAATATTTAATGTCAACTTTTTGTCTTTTTGTTCTAGAATAATGAAGATTACGTCGGATTTAAAGTCTTTTTTCATATTCCGAGCGAGTGGTTAAATTCATGTATGAATGTTCAAAAACTAACGGATTTCGTGACACTAGCGGCGGGAGTAAAAAGGTTCTCCCTTTTTAATGAGAATCCAGTTTTGGGAGATCAATACTTCTTGGAGCATATGAATATCGTCGTAGAAATTAAGGAGGTTGCGAACTATACCTTCCTTTTACAAAGGCGGCCAGATATTCTAACATTATTAGGAGACGGTTTCGATTTTGACATCATCGACTCACAAGTTGACAATTCAATCGTCATCGAAGAAGTGGAAAGTACAGGATCAGCTCAAACTGACATCGAATTTCATGTACTCAACGAAGAAGAAGAGGAAGAAATAAAAAATGCTGTTCTATCCATTCAAGCTCCAGAAGAAGAAGAAGAAGAAGAAGGAGAAGAAAAAGAAGAAGAGGAGAAAGTGGTGGAGGGGGAAGAACCCTTAAATTTAATTATAAAGAAGGAACCGGAAGAAAAAGAAGAAGAAAATGAGATATGAATACTAGTGTGATTTTTTATATTATTATTATCACGCACTTTTTATATTATGCAATTTTTCATTCGTTTTTTTTTATTATGCAATTTTTAAAAAAAAATATGTTATTGTCCATTTTAATGAATTCATCTTCTTTTTATAAACAAAAATAATTGTAATTATAGTTTCATTTTTCAAATGTGTGGAAAAAATAAAAAACAAAAAATGTTATTTTAATACGATGATTTTTTGAAATTTCCTCTTTGTCTATTTTATGTTAAATAATTTTTTCTTAAAAATAATAATCGAAACATGAATTAGCATTTTTTTAAAAAATAAAATAACTAATATTTTGAAAAACTTTTTTTCTGTTCTAAAAGTAAAAAAAATTCTTTTACGCATAATCTTTTAAAGCTTTATTAAAAAACAAAAATTTAATTGAGTTTTATCATAAAGAGAAAAATTAAATAAAAAAGTGAAAGCGGAGACTCGAAAACACTCAGATCGTCTTTCACCGTAAGTATAAACTTCCTTCTTTCTTTACTTATCAAACTTTTTTGTTCTTGACCAAAATATTAAAATAAAGATATCGTATTAGGAAAATTTTTTAATAAGTTTTTTACTTTTTGCTATTAATTAATTACTATTAATTTATTATTCTTTTTTAAATGTACAATTTGTATTATTTGACATACATTTCGATCATTCTAAGAGAATATTCTAAAAGAATTGTTAATTAAAAAAAAACATTTTTTTTACGGAATACATATTATTATTATTATTAATTTCTCTTAAAATAATTACATATTAAATATTACAAAACCAATTTTTTAAATTTACAACATTTTTAAAAGCACAATTAAAAGTCGTTTTTTTAGTTGAATGTTTTAAACAAGTTTCAGCAGATGATTGAATGTTTAATTTTTTTAATGAAGGGCAATTTAAAGCATCCATATTGATAATATCAACACAATTTTCAGCTATTAAATTTTGTAACCACTTTTGTTTCTCAGATCCTTTAACGTAAATTATTTTTGCATCTTTAAATATACTGTTTAATATTATTTTCATAAAACTGTAGGGTATATCACCATTATTCCAGGAAAACCCGTGAAAATTTTTTTCTAACCATCGATTTACACATTTATATTTTTCTGAGATGCAATTCCATTCACACGGAGGCTGAAAAACTATACTAAACGGCATTACATTGTTATTTACAGACACTACAGCTAATTCTTTCAATATAAATTTGTTGATATCTATTTTGAAGCCCTGTACGTCTACTATGTACTCCATTTTAACATCAACTAAGATGATTTTCCTAGAATTTAACTAAATATTGTAAGCCAGATGGAACGGGTCAACCACATTCTACTCACATGCACGCCCATATTATCAACGTTTCGAGTTACACATAACTGACCTACGACAAATTCCTCCGAAGGTCGATCACTAGTCACAGACGCCATACATATGTATATAGCATATACATATGTATATAAAATTTCTTTTACTTGATAATCTTTTTTTCTTTTTTCTTTTTCTCTTATTCAATAATGAAATTTAAAAAAGTTTATTAAAAAACCTTTTTCTTTTTTTGCAAATTAAAAAAATTATTGTATAAAACATAGATTTTTTTGTGAAAAAATTAAATTATGTGGGTTTATTTTTTTGGAATATTAAATAAAATCAACTAGAATAATAATATTATTTACTAATAATTTATTTATAACAATACAAAAAAATTTTAATACATTTTTTTTAATATTAGACAATTTTTTTTACAATTCCACTTATTGGTTTATACTCAATAATTCTATCGTGCAAAATTAAACAGTAGGCTGAAGTATTTGCTGGAAAATTATCTTGCGATTCAAATTCCAAACGAATATCCACTGGTCCACTTTTTAATGACTCATTTTGTTTTGAACAATCCACGACAACTAAAGGAGCGTATTCTAAAAATTCTTTTTTAGTTAAAATAGGTTGTGATTCTTTACCATAATATGAAGTTTGAAAGTTAGTAAACATTTCATACAAAGTTGAGTACTGATTTCTACCAATATTAAGATTCATATTACCATAGGGATAACATTGTGAATTTAAAAACAATTTTACATCAGATAAATTACAATGGTCAAAATGGCTAGAATTGCGAACAGTATTATTTTTTCTATTCCTTTGAAAACCTAAAACAATAAATCTTGGTTTCTCTAATTGTGTCGAAGTTTTTACACTCCAAATATGCTTAGGAGTAATTGGTAACAATGGATATTCATACAATTCCCAAGTTCGAAAACTGATAGGAATTGATGGATCTTTTTCAATATATTTCAATAATTTAAATTTTCGAGCATCTGATAATTTTATGTATGGTAATAACCATTCGATTTTCTCAATTACAATTTTATACTCTTCTAAAGGCGCTACTTGCAAAACTGCATTATTATCAGTTCTTGATCTAATTAAAATAAGCTCATGTTTAGCGTTAATAATTACTTTTTGATAATCTTCTGCAAAACCAAAAATCATACTTAAAGGAATACAAACATCAAAATAACCTTGAGCATTTGTTAAGGTTGGTTCATCGGTAAATTCTAACCAGCCAACATTTTCAAAAAATTTATTTTGACTGGCATCAAGAGAAATATAATTTTTAATTAAACTTGTAAGACCTACATTCTTATTCTTATCTATTTCTACACCATTAAGTTCATATTTCGCTTCCTCAAATAAATGGCATATTCCATTAGAAATTAAATTTGTACGCTCAAGAGCTGTTCCATCAGGTTTCACAAGCTTTCCTGTTATGTGAATCGAGCTTTTGCTTGGAAGTAAGCAATGATCCTGGTTTTGTACAGTAATGCGAATTTCATCGCTATTGTTGAATGTTGATGAGGTATATGGTTGTTGCGCATGCACCTCATAATGAGCAATAGATTCATCAAAAATAATTGGTGAATCAATATTTAAAATTTCCCCTTCCATAGCAGATAATACGTTGAAATACAAAGGCACAGATACAAGAAAAGATAACCTTAAATCTTCTTATTTTCTTCTTCTTTTTTTTACAATCTTTAGACCGAGATTTTTCAGCAATTTCAGGTTCTGAGGTGTTAATCTCTTCAAGATTCGTTGTTGACTGATTTGCTTTTGGCATGGTGTTTTAATTTTATAACCAAAACCAATTTTTTTCTTTTTATTATAAAACACTATACCCATTATTTAAGAGACTTGATGTGAAGTCTTATTGTTATAGTTTCTCCTCTAAAATTAACCAAATGTCCGTCTTGGTCTACAATTCGCAACTGTATGTAGTCTATTGTTTTGACAGCGACTGGCAAGTAAATGACATGATTTGGCACTTCCACTATTTTATATCCAGGTGGAACAATAGGAAAAAATTCATGAATTGTATGAACTTTTTCCCCATTGATGTATGCTCCTGTTGTAATGTTACATTCTACTCTTAGTGAATTTATTTTAATAATTGATACTGGTTGATCAGATTCATGATATTCTTGAGCTTTTAATTTGCGAGGAGAAAATCCTAACAAACTACCTATAGAATCGTCTGGTTTAAAATTAATTTCTTCATCACAATAAACTGTACATTTTAAAGTATTATTATTTGGTTTAATTCTAAAATTAATTCCTTTATTTTTTAAAATTAAATGTAAAACTTGATCAATATCACTAATTTCATAACTTCCTGTAGGTATAATAATTTCTTCTTTACCTACGTAAATTTTATTTTTTCCAACATCAATATTCGGAATAGAATTGAAAGTTAAAAATTCAACTAGACCAAGAGCATAATTTTTTAAATGAGACAATTCAATTGGTGGGAAAAATTGAGATTCTAAGATGGAAGAATTTCCAGATAAAGTTAGTATAAATGAATCGTCCATGCTGAAATATAAATATTAACTGAATCAAAAATTTTAATTATTTGTCTTTTATAGAGTTTTTATTTTTTATTTATAGAATACATATCAGGAAAATTTAACTGATTACATAAAAATTTAAGACATAAATGACCACATATAAATGAGTCATAATTTTGATATTTTTTATAATTATACATTATGCTACCAACACCGAAATATTTAATAATGTCTAAAGGTGGTCGAAGATTACCAAAGCTATCAAAATAAATAATTTTATCTTTATTCTTTTTATAAGCACACCAATGTGTACCAGGACCATCTTTATCATCTAGATTAATAATTGCAAATTCATTTTTTCTAGGACCACCCTTAGGTAGTTCATTGCGCATAAAAACACCTCGAAAATAGGGAATTTTTAAAAGCTTTGCAAATTTAAGTAAATCAAAGTCGGTTAGGGCTCGGTGAGGTAGCTTTACTTCAAGTTTTTTGACTTGCATCCTTGTCCTGCTTTATAAGGTTTTAGGTGTAGCCCTAGACCTGTCCTATATGGTTTTAAATAGAGCCCTTTTCCTAACGCGATAGACTCCATTGTTTGATTGTGTCGTTTACTTTCCTCAAGTTGACGTTTTGCAGAATTTGCATCATTTACGGCTTTAGCTATGCCAGCTGCTCCCCCTGCTAAGGCCCCTGTTGCACTTAAACCCGCAAACAATGGAATAAGAAATGGTAAAAGTCCTCCTACTTTAGAAGGCATTGGTAAAATTCTAGGTTTATTTATTTTTCGCTTGCCACCAGCATTTTTTACTGCCAAACGTGCACCTTTAAGAGCTGATTTAATAGTAGATTGTGCACTTTTTCCTATTTTCATAGATTTTTTAGCTGCTGTTATTATCTTTCTCAACGCTGATTTTTTATTTTTTCTATTATTATTCTTCTTTTTCTTTCTCTTTATATTTCTTTTTGATTTAATTCCCATTCCAAGTTTAGATTTGACCTTCATTGCATTTGTTATTGCGTAAGCTGCAGCTTTTTCACTATAATTTGCGTCAGGAGCAAACACTCGATGCCAAGCTTTATCGGCAAGTACTCTATCAGCTGCGTTTCTCGCTTCTATATTTTCCCTATTTTTCGAATAAGAAATATCGTGCTCTTTACAAGCAGCGTCGAGAGGGTTGACTCCTGGATCACCTCGTGCTAATCTCTTCGCTAATTTTGTTCCTGGACCACAGTATTGATAGCCAGGTATATGAAGTTCAAACGGTAATTTATTGATAATTTTATTTAAAACACCTCTACCTCGTCTTACTCTTTTCAAAGATTTCTTTAAACTAGTTTGTTTTTTATTTACGCCCATATTTATATTCTTTTCGGGAACAAAACTTTTTCAAGACTAAAGTGGGAATCTATATAACCAATGTATTTATAGTTTTTTGTCATTTGACTACAAACAGTCGACCTTTAATGATCTAACAAAAAATTATGACAGCAATAGTCAATTATCACAGTAATAGTCAATTATCCCAATTGCCTCCGACAGTAGGAAACGTGGACCTTGCCCAAAGCATGAAAGAGTTGACTATCGACACCAAATCGCAAACCTCCCCTAAAAAACTAGACCTAGCAATCAGATGCTGTAAAGTAGCATGGACCCCATTATTAGATTTGCATGCAAGCGTTATAAGCGTCTAAAGTGAACTGACATTAAAACTATTAAAAACCTTGTATTTATAGTTTCAACCTCAGTTATCGTAAGAATGGAGTTTGAGGCACAATCGATTAAATTGCCAGTCTACAATTTTGACACTCTTGTTCAAGATTGTAATAAAAAAACAGATAATCGTCATGGTAATTTATTGCCAAATAGTGTGCGAGCAATATTTTGTGGACCTTCAAATTGTGGAAAGACAAACGCTTTACTTGCTCTTTTAATACATCCCAATGGATTAAGATTTGAAAATGTTTATGTTTACTCAAAATCGTTATATCAACCAAAATACAAATTTTTAGAAAACATTTTGCAACCTGTAGAAGATGTAGGTTACTTTCCGTTTAATGAAAATGCTGACGTTGTAGCACCAAGTAATGCGCTACCAAACTCAGTATTTATATTTGACGATGTAGCGTGTGAGAAACAAGATAATATTAAAGCTTTTTTTGCTATGGGAAGACATAAAGCTGTAGATTGCTTTTATTTATGCCAGACTTATGCGCGCATTCCAAAACATTTAATACGTGACAATGTTAATTTATTAGTTTTATTTAGACAAGACGAAATGAATCTTAGACACATTTATGATGAACATGTTAATACTGACATGCCATTTACAAAATTTAAAGAACTTTGTAGTTCTTGCTGGAAAAATAAGCATGATTTTATTGTAATTGATAAAGACCGTGAAATTAATCAAGGCAGATATAGAAAATGTTTTGATTGCTTTATTAAATTAGAAGAATAGTATAGTAAAATGACAGTATAAATTTAAACAGTGAACCAACAACATGTCTTTTTCTCAAAAAGAAAATTTGCAACAACAAAAAAACATTCTTGGTGAAATTGCTAAAGCAAGCGAAGCAATAAGACGAAAACATAGATTGTTAAAATTAGGTAGGGAACAAATTGAGCAATCTTTAAATGAAACCTTTAAACCATTAGTAACACCTATTCAAAAAATAGTTGATGATATTGAAATTGTGAAAAACATTCGACCAACAAAAACAGAAGTAAAAAATGAATATAAAGAAAAATTAAAAGACGAAGATTTTAATGTTAGCGATTTTTTAGATAATGAAAATGGTGAAATTTCATTTAAAACAGCAGCTTTGGATGAAGATATTAATAATTTTAAAAATTTTAGTTCCCCAAAAAATTTAAAGGAAAATATTATAAATGTTTATTTAAAATTATTAGAAGATAAAAAAAAGGACTTAGATAATGTATATGGTGTTAGAAAATTAACTAAAGGGAATTTAATGATTGGTGATTCACCGATAAATTTTGAAGAAAATGACATTTTAATTAACAATTTAAGTTATCCTGCTACCCAGGGTTTACTTGAACTTTTATTCAAAAAAACACCAGAAGAAAATTATATAAGTTTAAGTGATCGTGAAAATTATATGAATATTATTATCTCAACAAATGCTCATAGAAAATATTACAAAGCAGAGGGCGCTGTTCGTGATAGAAAAAATTTAAAATTTCAAAACTATATTGCAACACATACTGGTAAAGGGTTAAATGAAGAGTATATGATTGATCAAAAAAATAAAAATATTGATTATGTTTATTGGGATGACCCTAATGAATTAGTAGAACGTTTAAGATTACTTTTAGCTTCTCAAGCAGCTGGCAACCCCAGCCATAATAATGAAATAATATCAATTATTGAAGAATTGAGAGAAGCCAAAATTATTTATTAATTCATAGCTTGTTGCAATTTTTCACATTTGCAAAATGAGTATCGACATATTCGGTCGTAAATTTAAGAGCACAGAGTCTTCAAGTCGAGGTCCTCCAGGACTTGGTTTTAAACTCACATCTGAAGGAGATTACAACATGGAAAATAAAAAATTATGTAACGTAGCTGATGCTCAAAATGAGAGTGACGCGGTTAATTTAAATATGGTTAAAAAACTTTTAGAAACTGAATCTAAAGCCATCTATGACGTAATAGGTTCTGTGAGAAGTGATATAAATATGAATATTGTAAAAATATCGGAAATGGAAGATTCTATAAAAAAGTATTTTGATAATTTAAAATTAAGTATTGAAAGAAATATAGAGATGCTGTCTATCAACAAAGAGATTATTACTCAATTGGATGGCAGACTGCGTGCACTTGAAAAATAATTAAACCATGGAAGCTCAAAAAATTCAATTGGTAGACGAGCTACACAAGCCTGCTAGAAGAAATTATATACGTAGAAATGTTGATATTCGAGGTATAGATGAGACCTGGCAAGCTGATTTGGTTGAAATGCAATCATACGCAAAAGTAAATAAAGGCTATAAATATATGCTAACAATCATAGACGTGTTCTCCAAATTTGCTTGGGCTGTTCCTGTGAAGTCCAAAAAAGGTGAAGAAGTGACAGCAGCAATGGATTCTGTATTAAAAAAGAAACGCGTACCGAAAAATTTACAAGTAGATAAAGGAAAAGAATTTTACAATTTTCATTTTAAAAATCTTATGAATCATTATAAAATTAACTTATATTCAACTCATAGTAATTTAAAAGCGTCAATTTGCGAACGATTTAATCGTACTTT